TAAATGGAGGTCAGTAGTGATGGCCTTGACCACTTCGCAGGCCCCCGCTGTGAGAATTAAACATGTATGAGGAGGCTTGCAAATGTTAAAAAATATAAAAGTCAGGACACTGTGGTGGCTCACTATCCCCTGGGCACAAAACCTCAACAGAGGGACTCGATCCTTTTCCCTTCCCCAATCCTCAAAAATCTTTGTGCCCATAAAAAAGTTACAAAAAAAAAAAAAAAAAAAAAAAAAGCCCACACTGGTCTGAGGACAGAACAGGCAGGACACTATTTGCTTCCAACCAGGCGAGGCGAGGCCGGGATCTCACCCCTGCTGCGCCTGTACTGAAGCACAGGACGAGAAGGCAAGGGTTTGGAGTGTCACGCTGTTTTCCGCGAAGCGTGTCTTTGAAGGTGACAGCCAGACCTGTTGTGTGAACGGCATAGGATAAACTATGTTGCTCTCCCTAGGTAACAGGCTAGTCCAAGACAAGACCAATTCAGGCATGGCGTGACCAAAAACTTGCCTAAAACACCCCCACCAAAAAGCACGGGAGAGGTCTCTAATGTGACTTAAGCATTGACCCCCACCCTATGTGAAAAAGCAATTTTTTTTTAACCAGTTAAAAAGCCAGATAAAACAAAACCACTGGCTTTCAATCCTTTGGAAAAATCCAGGGAAAGGATTTGACTGAATCCTGTTAGGGCTCCATTTCCCACCTGCTGGGAGTCGAGCAGGGAGGGTTTAAGAGCAAGCCTGAAGCCTAAATCCCATCCAAATGAACCCAGCAAGACAGGATGGGCCCTGCTTGTCTACATGAAGAGGCCTGGGGGGGGGGGGGGGGGGGGGGATCCAGTGGAGTCTCACTAGGGCCGGGTTCTTCAGCTGCTGTTCAGACAGTAGCACACAGGCCCCAACAGTGCCCCAGGAAAGCAGGCATCACCGCTCATTCTGGAAAGACCAGATTCTACCAGCAGGTGCTGACTGATGAGAGAGGCCCTGCAACGGGAAGTCAGGGTGACCTAAGCAAGGGTAACAGAGACTGTTTCCCACCCCTGTCTGAGAACCAGAAGGGACAGAAGAATGTCCCTGGGGACATCAGGCTGCAGGTGTCTCCTTAGGGAAGGAACTTGGGCAGAGGGAACAAAGGCTGGGGCCTCTTGTTTTAAATGGACCAAGACAGTGAGCTGTGACACAGAGTCTCCCTGGAGTGGAAGGGTTGCCAAGATGGCTTCAGAGAGAAGGAGGAGACATGGGACAAGCCCTTCCCCTTGGCTCTTAGAGCTTTGTTTACAGTTTGCAGTGGCTTCTTCACAATGAAGATGATGCTCAGCATCCGGAAAAGGGGTCTCCGGGAGGCATCTGCCAAAGAGGAGGGGGATTTGTAGCAAAGGGAAGCCCTGTGCCTATTGGCACCCATGACTGACCTGAGCCACCTTGCAGCTTCCAGAGTGGGGGTGGGGACGGACAGGGAAACGGGGAGAAGAGACAGGCAAGGCTGAGTCCAAGGAGAGTTCAAAGAAGGGACAGGAGGAGGGAGGTGATCAACAAACCCTAGTACCTCACTCTAATTTGCTCCTGGACTTCTTAATAAAGAAGCAGACCATAGCCATCTTCAGAATGCCCTTTGGATGCATAGGTCAGTCCGTAAGCACTTTAAGAAAGCTTAGATTTTTATTCACGTATCTTTTGTGTCAGAGGGGCATGCCAATGGAAGTCTCTCCTTCCACCACAGGTCTCAGAGACCTGACTCTGCCATTAGGCACAGCAGCAGGCTTCCTTCCCGCTGAGCCATCTCACAGGCCTCCTGGCAAACACTTCAAAGACACACCATTTACGACAAGATTGCACCCAAAGACAAAGTCACTGTTGAAAAGTCACAGGAAGTAAGGGACAATAAAAAGAGGTATGACTTAAGCATGCCTGCCTGGACACACAGGCCAGTCTCCCGACAAAATGAGCCACAGGCTCGGAACCCTTGGAGAATTCACATACTGGAAAGCACAGGGAATTTGGGAGTCAAGCGCCCACCCTGATCTCCATTAATGACAGGAGAGATGAAGATATTGAGAGACTGGTTCAAGGTCCCCCAGTGGGTGAGTTCCAGAGTCAAGAGTAGATCCCGAGGCTCCCTGTACCTTTCTCATTAAACCACCTGGTCTCCACTCACCCTCTCCCCCCAGGCTGAAGAAAGGTGGGGGTGGGGCGGGGCTGGGGCAGGGATGGGGTTCAGCTGGTACAGCGCTTGTCTAGCATGTATAACCTGAGTTCAAGCCTCCAGCACTACACACCCCAGGCATGCTGATCCACTCCCACAGTCCCAGCACTCAGGGGAAGGAAGTGGAGCATCAACAAACAGTTCAAGGCCATCCTCAGCTACTAGCGAGTCTGAGGTTAGCCTGGAATATGTGAGTCCCTGTCCCAAAATAATTCTTAAAAAACTCAAAAAGAAATGACAGACATGAGGGTAGGATGTCGTTCTGAAGGCTCCATGCATGCTCTGCTCCCGTGAGAAGAAGACAGCCCTGAAGATCTCCAGGAGAATCAGAGACAGAACTGTGCCTGGACAGACTGTATTGCAGCCCTTGGTTGCTTGGTGGTTCCTTAAGGGAACCACATGCATGGGCCTTCACTCCCCTCCAATATTTATCGTCTTTCCACAGTGATGCTTGGGTCAACTCTTGGTTTTCTAGAAAGGGATGAGCAAATGATACCTGCACAGTGAGTCTCTGGGGCTGGGGTGTTAACTTCTTTAGAAAAGGTCTTGAGAGCTGTAACTAAGGCCTTGAGGAGACTATCTGAGTGATAGACATGACCTTATATGAAACAATGAGAAAGGCAGGAGGGCAACTGGCAGAGAGAGTGATGCTGAGAAGGCCTGCAGGGCAGGTGGGGTACCGGGAGGGATGCAGACACAAGCCAAGGCACACCAGGAGCACTAGAGGCTGGAGATCAGGAAGGACCATTCCTCCAGTGTTTGAGAGAACAATGGCCCTGACGATACATTGTTATAAATGTCTAGATTCTAAAACCCAGAGGATAAATTGTCTTAAGCCACTACTGTTTCAGCCCATACTGAAAAGAAACTCATTGATATATGGACAAAATGAATGTAAAATGAAAAGAACAGGCTTATAGTATTCAAGACAAACCCACGCGTACAATGTTTCATCAGCAGTGCCAGGGAATGAGGTTGGTCCGGCTTTCTCTTGGTGACCAAGCCCAGCTGAGTCACCAGCAGTCACATGTCTTGCGCAAACCCCTGCAGGACATTCTTCTGGGTCACACACCCATCTGCAGAGGACAGAGCCTGCTGGGCGGACCCCAAATCTAAGCTGAATGTGCAGCTACTCCCAGGCTGATGGATGCTGGGGGTTTAACAAGGTGCATCCCCAAGCCTGCTCTTCAGGCTTTCCCTGACACCTGAAGACAGTTCGGGACATGGCCCCTGCAGTCTCTGTGACTCCAAGCTGAGAGGGAAAACACGGAGGGACCAGCATGTCTTTAAAATGGCACGTTCTGGGATGTGATTGTATTTTATAGATTCCTTCCTATAGCTGTCGAGGTAAGTGTGAGGTACTCACACATAACCACACAGGCCTTTTCTTCCCAACTCCTTTGGGGAACACACTTCCACATGGGGACTGTAAAAACTGTTGATTCTAGAACACAAGATCTTAAACTTGGATTCTTAGTGGAAACTGTATCTAGGAAGCGGTCACTATCCTTTTCCCCCAAGTCCCTGGCAAACTCCCGTCTGCTTTCTGTTGCTAAGCGTTAGGTACAGCACAGTCGTGGCCTTTCGTAAGGAGCTCCTTGTCTGGGAGGTCTGGTCAAACTCCCTGCCTGTCGTCTGCCTTCTTTCCCTCAGGGTTTGCCTACAGGGTAGCAGGTACCGCCGCTTTTCTTAAGGCCACAGAATAACCCGTTTTGTTCATGCAAGCCTCTCCTGGGGCACAAGCGAGCTGTTTCCGGCTCCCTCTACTGTCAACAGTGGGGTGGGAATGTGTGTACACATGTGTTTGAATACTCCCATTTACTCTTCCCACGGCACCATGACCCCATTCTATGAGTGTGGCTACACCACTTACATGCCTTCCCCGACGAAGCCCAGACAGCTGCCTGTGACCCTGGAGGGAGCCTGCCCATCCCCACCCCACCCCCACCTCCTCCAGGGCCGTGCCCACAGCATGCTCACTTTCTGGTCTTGTGTGTCCTGTCTCCTTGCCAACGAGGCCCTGCATGTGGTTCTCTTCATTACAGAGTTTTCTTCCTCAGAATACTGGGAAACTTCTCATGGCAAGAGTCACTCTCTTATCTCCTCTGGACAAAGAGAGTCCACAGTGACCCCTCTCTGTTTGGGGAGGCTCTTCTTAGCCTTTGTTGTGATAGTCCCCAGAATGGCTCAGAAACACCTTAAAGACTTGCAGGATAAACACCCTGTGTCCCTAAAATGGACTCTACTGGCTATATGGCATCAGCACCCAAGGGAACCAGGGTTTTCTCCGAACTTTGATCCCAAAGTTCGATGTATCAGTCTCTCTCTCTCTCTCTCTCTCTCTCTCTCTCTCTCTCTCTCTCTCTCTCTCTCTCTCTCTCTCACCCAAGAGGAGTTGGTTAGGCCCAGAGACAGGTGCTGACAGGGCAGTTGCTGAGAAAGTTCTGGCTGGAAGCAGTCACACCTGAGTTTGACAGGCTACCTTCAGCTCGGTCACAGGGCTCTCTGAGTCACAGGGGATGTGGCTTTCTCAGGTCAGGGAAGTCAATCCCTTCACCTTGTATCTTCCCTTCTCTCAGTTCTGAGCTTCTGGGGTCCACACAGGCAAACACACAGAGATAAATGGAGGATCTACTGCCCTCTCCTTCTAAGAAAACGTCTGCTTAACTCCCAGTGAAGTTTATCCTCTTTTCCCTTTGAATTCTCCATCATTCCAAGTTCCCCATGGCATTTGGTCGTGAGGGCAGCCTAGCACCTGATCCTCTGAGACAGTCACTGTGGCCACCTGCTTTCCACCTCAGGAGGAGACAGGAGGCTTGAAGGCCTGCGGGGAGAATGGCAGCCACCTGAGTGGGCCTCTATCACTTACCTCCAGGACTTTTCCTGTGATAAACTGGTGACAGGCTTCACACTTCACCCCAAAGAGCCCCTGGTAGTCCTTTTCACAGTATGGGGAACCGTCCCTGAAAGACAAAGGTGCATTCAGGCCTTAGGAGGACACCGAAGTCACATCTCTGAGGTCCTTCCCACAGAACAAGAATATAATCTCATCTTCACACAGGCCCAGCAACCTGACCAGACAAAGCCACAGGCCGGAGAGAGCAAGTGGCAGGTCTCCAGGCCAGACAGAGACAAAACCCCAATAAATCGTCACATGGTTACCATGGCCACTTTCTTGGCTGTCACAGAACCAAGGAGCAGAAACCCCAGTATTGTTCCTCTCTTGGCAGCCCAGATAATCCCCAGAGGAGCCCAGTGCTCAACGGTGCCTGAGAGGCCCAGGGCACCTTACCTCCCTTCCCAAGTCATCTTCTCAGACCTCCAGGCCCAGCAGGGCCTTCCCACAGCCTTCAGACATGATCTCCTCAGCTCAGTTCTCCCTGGCTGCGAGAGCTGGAACACGGTTCATCTCAGCAGTTGAGGGGCCACTGTACTTATTACCTATGGTCTTGAGTGTTTTTTTTTTAAAGCCGGTCACTTTTCTGGTTTGGGCTGTCAGTCACAACCGTCTGGGGAGGTCTTCAGTCTCCTACCTGAGTTCCAGTTTGACCCCAGACCTACTATGAAACTGTATTGTTGGGCTGTGAAAGCCAAGCTCCCTTCTCGATTGTTTCAGAGATTTATAAAGTCAAATTCATGAACTACACTTGAATGAGTTATTTAATATAATTGGATAGGCTTTGTGTTTCTTGTCTTTGACCTTTGAGACAGGGTCATGTGTGGCCAGGCTGGTCTCCAGCTCTCTAAGAAGCCAGGGTCATCAGAGTGCTGTGGCTACAGCTTCTGCTGCCTCATCCAGTTTCTAGTTAGATCAAACCCAGGGTACTGTGTGCTGGGCAACTGCTCTACCCACTGAACGCATCCCAGGCCAGGCCTGCACTCTCTGGGGCCTCAGCTCTCCCACCCAGCTATATGCTCACCCCCTGGTTGGGGAGATTTACAAAAGGCATAAAAAGATAGAGTGGTGGATTCTTCCTCTTTATCAGAGTATATTAAAAATAACAACAACAACAACAAAACCAAAACAAACAAACAAAAAACCAAACAACTGAAAAACACACCCAAATGTCACAGATTGCTTAACTCTAGCTAACCCATCACCATTGTTCTCAGATTCCACACGGCCCCTCACCCCGACAGGCTAGTGTGTGCTACCCTCTTGCCAGGCTCAGGGCACAGACCACATGTGTTTGGGGGGAATGTCTAAAGCCCTGGAGAAGAAGACTTTATTAGTTTCACACAGAAAGCAAAAAAAAGCAAAAGAGAAGTAGCTAGGAGCTTAGTTGATTACAAGGCAGGGTACACCATTATGCGAGCTTTGTTAATTATTAAATTGGGCCACAATTAATAGTCCATTAAGTTTACAGCAGCCACAGCATGGCAAAAAGCAGAATAATGAAGCTATTTCAACAAATTTTCTAGCAAAAGTTCCTACGGATGCAAAATGGGGGTGTCCTTCAGCACGCTGGAGGGAGAAGGCGGCCCCTGGAAGCAGTCAGTCCCGAGCCCTCTGGTCCAGACTTACTTGCTGATGTACTCGCCAGTGAGCACCTTCCCGCAGGACTTGCACTTGAAGCAGCCCAAATGCCACTGCTTGTCCAGCGCCAGCAGCGCCTGCCCGTTCTTAATGTCCCTTCCACAGCCAGCACAGTCTGGAAGAGAACAGCAACCCACGGTTACCGCCATTCCCCTTGCAAATCCCAGGGACGGTAACTCCTCCCGCCGTGGTGCGGCCCGAAGTCACTATGTCGTCATGTTCTGTTTCGGTTCTCTGTATAAAATCCCCCAGGACCTGTGCTCACGTGGCAAGGCAGCTGCTCAAACATTATTGGACCTCGTCAGATGGGCGTTCTTCACCTCTTAGCTCTTCAGGAGTTAGGTACCGTTTGGGGTCCTGCCAGCCTAGAGGCCCTTTAATTATAGCGTCTTGGCTCGGACATTGACAAAGCACTCACGGGCTTTCAATTAATTGAGGACACATGTGAATGAGCTCAGCACATGTGCTGGGAGCCATGCTCACCCTGTGTGTGGTTCCTGGAGCACTGACCATCAGCTTCATCTATGTAATGGAATTCTACTTCCTTATCTACCTAACCCAGCCTTTCATCCTGAGATGACTTAATTCCTTAGCCTTCAACTGTCCTTGGCAGATTCCTGAGAGGCACGTGTGGTCGTGTGGTCGTTACTTTTCTCATTGCTGTAACCAAGCCTGGCCAAAGTGCCTTAAGGAAGCAAGGCTTTATCTTGACTACACTGCCCATGGCGGCAGGGAGGGCATGGCAGTAGCTGCGCATGGCAGCTGGTCACACTGCACTGCATCAAGGGGGCAAAGAGAGAGTTCTGGCCTTTTGCTCGCTGTCTCCTTTTTTATGTTGCTCAGAATCCCCTGCCATGGAACAGGGTGGGTCTTCCTACCTCAATCAAGCCATTCTAGAAAACCCTTCAAAGGCACACCCGGAGGTCTGTCTCCTTGGGGAGCCTGGATGCTGTCAAGTTGTCAATCAATATGACCATCACAGTATGGCAGAGAATGGGCATTAGGACTGGCTGGTCTGCTCCTGCTCTTGGACCCTGCCTGTCAAAAGCGGTCCTTCAATAATATTTGCTGTTCCTAGAGTTGCTGTGGTCATGTAGATTACTTCACACTCCAGGGTACATATGTGTTAACCCAGAAACATGTAAAAGGGAAATGTTACATCAGCATCTACAAATATTCAAAATCCATGTATTTGATTGGCCACTGTGTCCTAACAAATAAGACAAAAAGTAGTGTCCAGGCAAAAGCACTCAGTGGCCACGTCCAGAATAAGACAGAGACATGTGTGCCTCCCATACAAGGTGGCTGAACAGCTCCCTCTTCTGACCACATCTGTAACTGCCTCCTTTGGCAGGGGCACGTCTACACTGGCTTCCCCTCTCCTCCCAGACTCAGATCACCAACCTGTTTCCCTGGACTAACCCTGCACAAGCCTCAACCCTGAACATACTTCCTACATCCATCCAGAGATGGCTCTGGTACCCTATAGGTCCCGCCTTGCTTCAACAACTTCACTTAATCCTGTTTCTTTGACCACAGGTGGGCATCTTGGTCAGCAGGTGTTAAATTGGCTTTGGACCCAACAATCCATGCTGAAAATATTACTATAGAAATACATTCACAAAAGTCCTCCAACCCCGTGTGTTTTCTAACTAAATGCACTTTTAAGGAACCCTGGTGCAGTGTGTGCTCCTCTCCCAGAATAGAACGTTTCTGAAGAAAACCATATTCTTAAGAAGCTGCCCCCTGTGGAGGAGGGCTTCACCTGTCTGCTCATGTGATCTGTGTGGTTGGATTTTTTTAAGCAGTAGAATGTGAAAATTTAAAAATATATATCCATAAACTTAAAATATAAGTTCTGAATATTAGAATTAGAATTTCCTTTTTTAAAGATATATTTCCTTCTATGTATGTGTGTACCTAGCTGGGTTTATGTGTACCACACGTGTGCAGGAGCATGTGGAGGTCTAAGAGCTTGGGATCCTCTGGACCTGGAGTTACAGGCGGTAGGCTACCGCCTGGTATGGGTGCTGGGAACCAAACCTGAGTCCTTTGTAAGAGCATTAAGTGCTTTCAAGCCCTGAGCTAACTCTCTGGCCACTGGATAAGAATTGCTAAAGTACCAGCCGTTCTAAACTGTATGTGGATAAGATTGTCCTATAGTCATGAGCAGTGTTTTACCAAATGCCCACAGGTGGTAGGAACGCAGAGTGGAGGCTGAGACAAATGAGCAGTTGCAATAGGGGCTGGGGAGGAGGCTCAGTCAGCAAGATGTCTGCCATACTAGCAGGAGATCAAACCAGCGCCAGTGTGGGTGATGTCCACCTATGACCCTGGCTAGAGGGACAAGGAAAGAAACGGACAGATCCCAGGAACTTGCCCACCACGGGTCCATCCAACTGTGAGCGCCTACCTCAGAGATCTGGTCTCAAAAAGAATATTTGAGAGCTCTAGAGGAAGATACATGACATTGCTGCCTGGTATACACACACACACACACACACACACTTACACGCACACTTACACACACACATACACATGGATATACACACATCTACACTTACACACACACACACACTTTTACACACACAGAGACTTACACACACATATGTGCACGTATTCACCCACTCACACTCTATAACCCTCCTATATACTGAGAGGTTTCAAGTTCCCAGAAAAATTGAGAGTAGAATGACCGCCCACACACTCCACTCCGACCTGCTCAGCCTGCACCACTCCCAGCGCCAACCACCGGAGTGGTACCCGTTCTTGCTGACAAACGCTGATGGATACATCCTTACCACCAGCACCCACAGGTTTAAAATGGCATCACGGATGACAGTATCATGCTGAACAGTAGAATAACTTCAACACTCCAAGGACACCTGAGTGCTGCCTATTCATCCCCTTTCCCTGGAACCCTGTAAACCTCTGAACCTTTCCCACTGCTAACTTGTGAACTGAAATTCCCCTTTGTTTCTAATAGTTCCCACTAGGTGGCAGCAATGGTTTGAAGAAGAAGGATGATGATGCTTGGATTATTATTATTTTTTTTAACAAAATAAATTTCAAAGATGGCTTTTTAGTTCTACAAGTGGAGACAGCTGGACGGGGTGAGGCCATCAGACATGCCTACGTTCCTACTGCAAGAAATAGGAGGAGTAATGAGATGTGAAATGGAGGAAGGCTGGAGAGCCTGGAAATCCTGAGCTCCTGACTATCTCTGAATTCGCTCATCTAGAGCTACTGATGATAGCTACCTGCTGTGCTCCATTTCAAGGTTCTCTGCACAGCACAAGGCCTGGTACAGGTGTGATGGGATTCCCCCTGTATGCTGGGAATATGTTTTATTACCATTGGTTAATAAAGAATCTGCTTTGGGCCTATTGCAAGACAGAATAGAGTAAGGTGGGAATTCCAAGTAGATGGAGGAGGAGAAAGAAGGTGGAGTCAGAGAGGCGCCATGGAGCTGCCGCAGGAGACAGATGCCAGATACACAACCACATGGTGATACACAGATTAATAGGAGTGGGTCAATTTAAGATAAAAGAGTTAGCCATGTTAAAAGACACCTAAGAAAATGCTCAACATCCTTACCCATCAGAGAAATGCAAATCAAATAACTCTGAGATTCCATCTTACACCTGTGAGAATGGCCAAGGTCAAAAACACTGATGACAACTTATGCTGAAGAGGATGTGGGTAAAGGGAACACTTCTGCAATGCTGGTGGGACTGCAAGCTGGTACAGCCCCTTTGGATATCAGCATGGCAATTTCTCAGAAAATTAGGTAACAACCTTCCTCAAGACCCAACAATACCCAAAGAATGTTCAATCATATTACAAGGACATGTGCTCAACTATGTTCATAGCAGCATTGTTTGTCATAGCCAGAACCTAGAAACAACCTAAATGCCCCTCGATCAAAGAATGGATAAGGAAAATGTGGTACATTTACACAATAGAGTACTTCACAGCAGAAGAAAAAATAATGACATCTTGAAATTTGCAGGCAAATGGATGGATCTAGAAAACATCATATTGAGTGAGGTAACCTAGACCCAGAAAGATAAATATCATATGTACTCACTCATAAGCTTTTGGACATAAAGCAAAGAAAATCAGCCTACAAATCACAATCCCAGAGAACCAAGACAACAAAGAGGACCCTAAAAAGAGAGACACACATGGATCTAATCTACATGGAAAGTAGAAAAAGACAAGATCTCCTGAGTAAATTGGGAACGTGGGGATCATGGGAGAGGGTAAAACAGGGGAAGAAGGGAGGGAGCAGAGAAAAATGTAGAGCTCAATAAAATAAAAAAAAAGTTAGCCAGGAAAATGCCTAAGCTATTGGCCAAGCAGTGTTCTAATTAATAGTCTCTGTGTGATTATTTCAGGTCTGGCCAAATGAGCAGCCTCTGTCTACACAGCTGAGCCATGCGATGACCCCTCCTTCCTTGGTTGGGGTCAGAGCTAAGACTAAACCCTGGGTTTCTTACTCTCAGCTTGCTCTTGCTCTTTCCCTAATGGCCACCTGTCACAGAGCCACAACTTGGGGACAACAGGGCCGTGCATACCTGCTGCCATTTAACCTTTACAATTATTTGGCCCATAATGTCTTACAGTCTGAGAGCCTCTGATCTAAACTGCTGAGACCACCACTCCCTGCCCAGGGTCTCCTGCAGAACAGAACAGGTCATCCCAGTGCCTGAGCCCAGCCAATGAGCAAGAGTGAGCAGGAAGGAGAGCCAAGGGCTCAGGTCCCTTCAGCCCAAACTTTAAGATACACACTAAACAAACCCAACAGAAACGTCTCTCAGATAGATATTATCATCCCATACCAACTGGCTGAGTATTCTGGCATATTCCACAGCAACAACCTGTTCTCTGGACGATGACGTGGACTTGACTTGAGACAGATATCAGGCTGTGGAAACAGAGAAGGGACAGCAAAAGCCTTGTGCTGGCTCATCCCCTTCTCCTGCTCAGCCCGGGGAGGCTCTTCCATGAAGAACAGCCAGCTTCGTGTTTTTTTCCAGTGGTTGAGGAAATCGTTTCCACAACACTGAAGCAGCTGTTGATAAATATAGAAAACTAGTGATGGGGCCGGGA